TTTTGCTAATGGGGCCTCCCGCTGCCGCCGCGTGATTTCTGTTCTCATCCTGGGGCAAAGTTCTCAACCTGAGGTACTACTTCCGGGTTAGCGGAGTTTGTAACCCAAAGTGTTTGTAACCCGAAGCGTTTGTAACCCAAGATACCACTGTAATTTTGTTCTATTGTTCTATCTGCAGCATAATGTTGCCTTTATTATTTACACAGAAATAAATCTACTGGGTTCAGTGGGGCTTGCTTCCTAGGAAGTGTTTTAACACTGCACCCCTAGTCTTCCTTCCCTGCAATATTTATTTATTTTTTGCTCCAAAGCAAGACTCTGAAAGGAAGTAAAGCCAGGGGTGGCTTGGCCCAGTGCTCCTCTCCACCCACCAAGGGCTGCATCAGCTGGCTGGGTTCCCCCCATACGCTGGCACGCAGGTGGCTCAGCATGGCCCACTTTGCTCAAGTGGCAAGGGCAGGTCTGCGCCCTGCCACCCGGCATGCGCTCGCCAGCCCCAGCACCTTTAACTGCTGCTATGCCACTGAGTAAGGCAGAACTATTCCAATGTTTATGGCACATGATGTGTCCTGAAGGTGATACAAAATGCATCTCCAGAAACCCTGGGAAGAAAAGCAACATCAATTTTTGCTTTTAGGACCATGCTGGAGCACATATAGCAGCTTTAAGGTATGTAGGAAGCGGCCTTGTACTGTGTCAGAACATTGGCTTATATGTAGTCCTGCACTGCCTACATTGTGATGCACATAGCTGTCAACTTACAGATTTGAAAATAAGGGACCAGCAGCCTTGAAAATAAGGGGCCAGCAGCCAAAATAAGGGACCTGCAGCCTCACCTGTTCCAGGCACTCCAGTCTTTCTGTCCTCCTGCAGTCTGGTCAAAACTCATGCTGGGTAGCTTCGAGAACACTGTCCAACCAACTTTGTAACCAGAGGTTCAACTGAATAGAATCTGAATCACATGCACCACAAGGCCTATGCAGCCTCAACTTAAGATGGCTCCCCGGCCTGGCTTTGCACTGCAAAGTTTGCAGCAGCATGTGCGCCCAGCATTCAAAAAACCCCTCAGCTTGCATTAACTAGCCACACACAAGGCATGCAAGCTCCACCCCCCAGTAATTCTTAGACTTCTTATTGGGTGAGCAACACAGCCAAGCAACACAGTTGGAGCCTCCCTCCTCCCTGGCCGGCAGGGAGGGAGGGAGAGGAGCTGCTTCCTTTGAAATTTAAGGGACATCATTTAAGGGACATTTAAGGGACATCCATCAATAAGGGACAGCAGTGGGACATGGCGCTGGAATAAGGGACTGTCCCTTCAAATAAGGGACACTTGACAGCTATGGTGATGCAGCCTCCATAGCCCTAGGCCATTGCACCACCCCTATGAGATATTAACTATTTCATGGCCTTTTCTTGTTGTCTTTAGCACAGAAGCAGCAGCAATAGATAAGAACTTAGGGAGACCCCTGCTGGATCAGGCCAAAGGCCCATCTAGTCCAGCATCCTGTTTGCATAGTCACCCAACTACAGTACATGCCTGTGGGAAGGCCATATGGAGGACACGAATGCAAGCAAAATGATGCAGATGTTTCCCCAAGATGACATTACATCAGGTTGTTCTGTCTCCTTATTTGAGCTGCATTTCTGACTGTTACTTATGCTGCCTTTTTGCTTAAAGGAGAACTTGTCAAAGGGATTAGGCCAGAAATATGACCCTCCGTACCTTCCAATTGCTCTCTTTTGCTCAGGAATGTCTTGTGGCATTTGCGTCTCTCTTGCTTAGAAGTTCTTTTTCACTATACAGCCAAGTAATTAAAAGTGCCTAGCTGCTCGTTTTGGCAAAATTGCCTTTAGGTAGCATGATTTTTGTAGATGGTCAGGCTCGGTCACTACAATCCACTGCTATGTTGCTGGGTATCTTGCTGTTTTCAGCATCCTGGTTATTTGACTGGTATAAATTAAGATTATTTGAGAGAGAAAATATTATTAATAATAATTTGTTAATTTATTAATATATCTATTTCTTTGAGTCCGTTCATCTGACTGGGATGCCCCAGCCACTCTGGGCAGCTTCCAAAAGAACAAAGCATCGACATTGAAAGCTTCCGAATAAGTCATATAATTGTTTCTCTTTGACATCTGACAGGAGGGTGTTCCATAAGGTGGGTACCACTACCAAAAAGGCTTTCTTCTTGTTTCCCTGTAATTTCACTTGCCATGTGACAAGTGCCCTTTTTGGATATGCTAAATGGCTTTCTATTCAGGAATGTGTAGTTTGCTTAACAGGCAAATGTTTACTTAACAAGCATGATAATAGCTGGGCTACTGGGTTATATATGCCACCTTTGGGGGGGGAGGGACTTTGGCAATTCTGGATGTAGCCAGTGTCAGAAGAGAAACAAGTTTGTGAACCGCCCTGAGATCTTCGGATGAAGGGCGGTATACAAACTTAAATAAATAAGTCAGAGTTTTGCAACGGGCTGGTGAAAGCAGCCTTTCATTGGCTGCTAATGGGTGGGCTTTTTGGGGAGAAGGGGAAGCTTCTCGCTGCTACTTTCGAGATCAGCGCTGCCCAACTGCGGCCTCGCTGCTCCCCGCGCATATTTGCATCATAGGGACTGCACAACCCTCCGGTATATTCTCTTCATAACCGGCCCGGTAGAGGATTTCCTGGCCATGAGACTTCCCAGCGCTCCAGGGGAATGGCGCTCACAATTCTGCACGATGTCTTCCCTCTCGTTTGCAATGTGCTTCCTACAACGATCACTGCAGCAAAGTAGCAAAGTCCGTTGTAGAGGAGCCTCTTGGTTCATCACCAGGACGGTTTTCTACAACATAGGGCTGTATTCTCCAGACTGGGTGCACAGCAAGGCTCCTCGTGGTACTGTTGTACCCAGTTCGGAAGGTGGCACCCATCCCAAGCTTCCTGTGGCAAAGGCATGCCAGAGCCCGCCGCCGGGATGACGAGAGCACCTTTTACAGCGGCACGCCCTCCTCCAGGCTAAACCTATGCAAGTTTACTGAAAAGCCTGCCCCACTGGGGACTTGCCACCCAGTAGGTGCATTAGCGTTTGCTCCCACGAAAACCCTGGAGTGCTCCTATTTGTTGTTGTTTAGTCGTGTCCGACTCTTTGTGACCCCATGGACCAGAGCACGCCAGGCACTCCTGTCTTTCACTGCCTCCCGCAGTTTGGTCAAACTCATGCTGGTAGCTTTGAGAACACTGTCCAACCATCTCGTCCTCTGTCGTCCCCTTCTCCCTGTGCCCTCAATCTTTCCCAACACCAGGGTCTTTTCCAGGGAGTCTTCTCTTCTCATGAGGTGGCCAAAGTATTGGAGCCTCAGCTTCAGGATCTGTCCTTCCAGTGAGCACTAAGGGCTGATTTCCTTCAGAATGGATAGGTTTGATCTTCTTGCAGTCCATGGGACTCTCAAGAGTCTCCTCCAGCACCATAATTCAAAAGCATCAATTCTTTGGCGATCAGCCTTCTTTATGGTCCAGCTCTCACTTCCATATATCACTACTGGGAAAACCAGTTTTAACTATACGGACCTTTGTTGGCAAGGTGATGTCTCTGCTTTTTAAGATGCTGTCTAGGTTTGTTATAAAAAGGTAAAGGTAAAGGTACCCCTGCCCGTACGGGCCAGTCTTGACAGACTCTGGGGTTGTGCGCCCATCTCATTCAAGAGGCCAGGGGCCAGCGCTGTCCGGAGACACTTCCGGGTCACGTGGCCAGCGTGACATCGCTGCTCTGGCGAGCCAGAGCTGCACACGGAAACGCCGTTTACCTTCCCGCTAGAAAGTGGTCCCTATTTATCTACTTGCACTCGGAGGTGCTTTCGAACTGCTAGGTTGGCAGGCGCTGGGACCGAGCAACGGGAGCGCACCCCGCCGCGGGGATTTGAACCGCCGACCTTTCGATCGGCAAGCCCTAGGCGCTGAGGCTTTTACCCACAGCGCCACCCGCGTCCCGATCTAGGTTTGTCATAGCAGTCCGCAATGAATGGACGCCTGTCAGGCACATGTTTTAATCTAAAACCAATGTTTTAATCTAAAACCAACAATCACCTGGCATGGGCTTAAAAAGGTAAAGGTACCCCTGCCAGTACGGGCAAGTCTTGACAGACTCTAGGGTTGTGCGCCCATCTCACTTGAGGCCGGGGGCCAGCGCTGTACCTTCCCGCCAGTAAGCGGTCCCTATTTATCTACTTGCACCTGGGGGTGCTTTCGAACTGCTAGGTTGGCAGGCGCTGGGACCGAACAACGGGAGCGCACCCCGCCGCGGGGATTCGAACTGCCGACCTTTCGATCGGCAAGCCCTAGGCGCTGAGGCTTTTACCCACAGTGCCACCCGCGTCCCTGTCATGGGCTTAGGCAGGAATTATTTTTAGGGCGGCAGGCTTCATGTTGGGGTGGGGGGAGGAGGACAGAACCGAGTTATCTGTGATGCAATTAGTTAGTTAAGTATTTTTATTTATTTACTTGGTGGGGGCAGCTGCTCCTCCTGCATCCCCCTGGCTACGCCCATGCCACCTGGGCGAAGAATGGGTGGTTCTCCAAGGGCGGCCAGGTAGACGCGAGACCAGGGGCTCCTGCACCTTGCAAGTGGCACAGCTCTTAAAGGTGCAGGAGCCCCGTCTTCTTCTTTATCACACGAAAACCGCGCGCGCTGTTCTTACCAGCGCCTCTCACTCCCCTTAGCGCAGCCTCCAGTTCTGAAGGCGGGAGGTACCCATTATTTTGGGCGGGGAGGGACAGCAATGCTTTACGGAACGTCGCCCTGACGATTTTTGTTTCAAACGCAAAGGGGACAACGCAGTCCTAACCCCCGCCCCTGGGCGTTTCTTCGCGCCCACCCCTCTGAAGCGGGAATGGGCGGCTCCCGCATGCTGATTGGAGGCTGCGCTGAAAGCCCCTGGCGGGGCGGGGCCGCGCTTGCATCTCTGGCGCCGGCCCTTGGCAACGCTTCGTTTCCCTAGCAACCGCCCCACCCCCACCCCCGAGGACTAAGCAGACAAGTGGGATAGCGCGGCCCGGGAGACGGGCGTGTGCTGGGACCAGTCGGGAAAGGGGAGAAGAGGGAACCTCGAGACTTCCGGGTTAGCAAAATGTGAAGGTAGCACTCGGGGTGCAGGGGGGCCATCCGTGAAAGGGGAACAACAGGTCGAAGGTTTATTAGTTTGTTTATTGATTTATCCCTCCAAGGAGCTCAAGGTGGTGTGCATGTTTCTCCCTGCATGGCTAAATGACCCTTGGGGTCCCCCCTTCCAGCTCTATAGTTCTAAGCTTCTATGACTCCCCCTCCTCATTGAATCCCCACAACAGCTCTGTGAGGTAGCTTATAGGCTGAGAGGCAGTGACTGGCCCAAGGTCACTCAGTGAGCTTCTTGCCTAAGTGGAGATTTGAACTCTGCTCTCAGGCTACGCCACACTAGCTCAGCAGGCAGGGGACCCCACAAAGCAATTGGAAGAACGACGATGAAGGCAACCCCTAAGCCCTTTTCCCAGCACTCCTTCTGCTGCCACCTCTCTTTTAATATATATTCCAACTCTATGATTCTTTCTCTCTGTGCGTGTGCGTGTGCGTGTGTGTCAGAGAGAGAGAGAGTGAGAGTGTTTGTGTGTTTCTGTGTGTGTGTGTTTTCACAGGCTATAATATTAAGGAAAGAACAGGCTTTCTTTAAAGTAAGAGGCAGGCAGTTCTGCTGTCATAAATGTGAGATCTTGGCCTTCTAATTACAGTGGTACCTTGGGTTACATACGCTTCAGGTTACAGACTCCACTAACCCAGAAATAGTACCTCGGGTTAAGAACTTTGCTTCAGGATGAGAACAGAAATTGTGCTCTGGTGGTGTGGCAGCAGCAGGAGGCCCCATTAGCTAAAGTGGTGCTTCAGGTTAAGAACAGTTTCAGGTTAAGAACAGACCTCTGGAACGAATTAAGTACTTAACCCGGGGTACCACTGTACTCTGGGTTAAGTGCCAAAGGCTGGTAGTTCCCTTTTTGTACAGTTACAGTGAATTTGGAACACTCACTTATCCATTCCACAGGCACACACCGAGAGACCAAGAGAAAGCTCACCCTTTTGCCATCCTTGAAGTTTGGGGTGGTTTAGGGGTATCTAAAAGTATTTCCAGGTGATCAGTTGTTTCTAAGGACTGCAAACTAGAATTCATATTGGGAATGCAAAAGGGGTGGGGTGGGGGAGCCTTTTCAGTAAACATTTAAAATACGGCTAAAGTGGCTGTGAAGAAATACTGAGAGCTTTTGGAGAATAGCAAATGGTGCGAAGCTGTTGATTGGTGGATTTTAATCCCTTTCTCTTTCACAGTATTTGTATTTAGTGCTTGACTTATGGGGAAAGAGAGATAGGGGAACTTTTAATGACAAGACACCTCCCATGGACTGCCCCGCAATTTAGACAAGCCCCTCCCAGGCTTCTAAAAACATCATGAAAAATAGAGCACCTTCTCCTGTAATTGGAGCATTGCTTGCATAGAACTGTAGAATTGTAGAGTTGGAAGCGACCACGAGGGTCATCTAGCCCTAACCCCTGCAATTGTTGAGTGGGTGTTGCATCTACTCAGTACTGCACTATTAGAAGGTAGGGTTTATATAATGTTCATTTCAGAGGACTTTGTGTTGCATCTAAAAGCAGAAAATCTTTCCCAGTAAGCAGATTTTATTTCTTAAAAGAAAGTTGAATTGAAAGGGCTTGACTATTAAAAAGCAGCTTAAAATAAAGAAATTGAATGAAGTACTTAAGGACATGGAAGAAAGTCAGTGATGTTTTTTCTTCTATGATTAAATCTATGGCTTATACATCCTTGTGCAAATTGTATAGATTGGAAATTGACTACATTTTGGCATTTTGTTGCATCTCTTTTAGCAGTACTTTTGCAATGCACTTGATTTAGGCACAACGTGGGTGGAAAGTTACATATACATTTATATGCTATCTTTTAATTAACTGCATCTTAACATGCTGTTTAATGCAAAATGTCAAGAAAGGAGACTACATATATTATATGGCAGTGTGCCATTTATGGGAGCAGTTATGTTTTCAGCCAATGTTCATTGAATCTGAGATGATGAGTGAATAAGAAAGGCTATTTATCAAATAATAGCATATCACAGTGAGCGTATAACCACTTGGTATGCTAGTAATCTATATTGTCCTGTGAAAAAATGAGAACTTTACATTTCCATACTGGAAGTGGAAAGCTGAAAAAACTGGAGGAGGGGGCATAAACTACCTGTTTGTACTTTGGCAGGGCAATATAATCTGTTTACTAAGTGGTCACATACATGTGGTAACTTGGTAGAAAGTTATCTAATCATCCATGAATATATGAATGTGAACCCAAAGCAGTACAGAGGAATATATGTCTGTACTGACAAAATAAGAAAATGAAGTATAGAACAGCCATGGTGATATGTGATTGCTGCATCAGGAGATCCTGTAAATTGATTCAGTGTGATAAATGACTCACTGCAAGACCTAGCACCTTACAACTCCCCAGGCATTTGATCACAGAGTTAATTCAGACACCTTGTGGAATCTTCATCACACCATAGCAACCTTGCTCTGCTATATTTGTAATGACACTGAATGTGGAGTGAGTGAAACACACATGCTTTGTAAAAGCAAAAAGTAAGTTTGAACACTGTGTTGAGGTTTTTGCCTCATTTTCCTAGAACATTGCAATCCCTTCATAATACAGTGTACACAGCTCATGAGTACAATAGAAACAGCTTCTAGTGGAGAAATTACTGGCAATAGGTAGAGTCAGAAAAGTTTTATTTATTTACTAGAACTATAAGCAGTCTATTTTATTTATGTGTCTATAAAACCAGATATACTACTTAATAAAGTAAACATCTCTAAGTGGTTTACATAAAACAATGAAATTGCAAACAGCATTATTCAATTAAAATTTTCCAAAAAACCCCACCCTAAATAAAAACAAGCCCCCAAGGTATAAAACATTATTAATCCTGACTACCAAATGAGCTTGCACTACTGTACGTAGGATGGGAAGAGCCCTGCTTTCTGCCAAAGCTATGGACACTTGCCTTTTTCAGTTTGCAGTGTATTCAGTCCACATGTGATTAATGGTAATTTGGTGGTTTCCCATTTCAGTCTCCCAGCCCTTTCAAAGGCAGGCTGCAATTGAAACTGCAGAATCACAACTCACTGTAGTCCACAAAAGCTCATAAATCTGTGGGTCTTTAGGGTGTCACAAGACAGGTTAACATGGCTCCCCTACTGGAAATTGTTGCAACCAAATCAGTTTTCTAGCACAGGTTGATGCTAAACAGTTGGATGCTAAATTGATGCCATTTGATTTGTATGCAGAGGAAATTGAACGGCCCCCTTTTCCCATAAGGAGATGTGGTGCCACTGTCGGTAGCAGGCTTTAGGTGGATTAGTTTAGGACAAGTGTATGTGCCATGCCTATCATGTGGATTGTAAGAACATGGTGTGGTGTCACACTTCTAATTGACATTTGAATTGTAAATAATCTTAAACCCAGGCTTTATTTTGGCTATACCAAGGGTACCAGTGATTTTTGGATAGCCCTAGAATAGTGGAATTGTGTGTACAAAAGGGAATAAATCTGGGCGCCATCATATCTGACAATGACTGCTGGATCCTAAAGCTTGCCATTTGGTCACCAGCAATAAGAGTCCTTGGGAATTTTGCAACAAAGCATCACACTTTGCAGCAGATGATCACAAAATTGCAGCATTTAGAAGAGTTTCAGGACATGTAAACTAAAGGGATGTGTGGTAAACTGCCTACAGAGCAGCACTTCTTTTGGATGGAGCCTCTCTTTTTAAAAGCAGCCCTCCATGCTGCCTTTAAGCTGTTCCTAAAACTCAGGGGAATTTCAGAAGTACTCCTCAGAACAGTCGGAAATAGAAATGATACTTCCCTGACCATGTGTGGAAATGCTTTTCCTGCATAAAGTGGCTCTTTGGATTCAAGCCATAGGCTTTATGAGCTACAACTGGCATTAGAGGTTTTAATGAACTGTTCTGCACTTGCAGGCTCCTTTTTTAAAAGTCAGTAGAGATTTAGTTGAAATTCACCTACAGCTGCTGTCTTGCTTTATGGAATATTTAATCATGAGATGTTTTATTTTTTAAATACAATTTTGAATGTGCATATTTTGACAATTAAATTCACAGTTGTTCCCAATATTTTTTTTTAGAATCCTGCTCATTATTAATCGTTTATGCAGTTCATGGTGTTTTACAGAAATAAACTCATGTCCATGCCTGCCTCTTGGAAGAAGCTACAGTTGCACAGTGGTTCTTTTACTATTGTCCAGTAATATTTGGACTGTTTGGGAAGTGCAGAAAGCTTTTGAGTTTTCATGCTTCGTGACCCCAGGGGGTTGTTCTTGCAATTGCCAACTGTTTTCTCCCTTCCATATTCTGGGATTGATGAAGATTGGAGTGACAAGATGGTTCTGGTCACAGCAGTCAGATCTGCAGAAGCCCTACGGATCTCTGACTGAGGAGCAGCGCTGGGCTGGCTTCACGCAGGAAGGAAGAATCACAGAGAGCAGAAACCACAGTTATGAGGGCTGTTGCATTCTCCTGGTTTTCTGTGTGGCTTTTGGGGTTAAGAATCTTAGTTGCCTGCAAGATTGCTCCACAATAGCTGATTTTCCACCCCCACTCGGATTAGCTGGTCTCCAGTGGATATTATTCCATGTCATTTGGCCCTTGGGCAGCATTGTCTCACAATTTCTGTAGACACCTAAGTATCCATTTGACCTGGCCTCTCCCTGCCCTTCATTTCAGTGTGCTTTGCTTCGCTCCGGCACCTGCTGCTTGCTGCTACCATCTGAGAAGCCTTTGCAGACACATTATCAGTAACACAACATGAATAACTTGGCTTTGCCCCCTTGCATTCTTCAAAGGGTTTGTAGAGGTCTGCTCTTGTGATTTAGCAGGTTGTTTTTATCAGCACTACCCCAGAAAGTTTGGGGGCTGAAAAATTGCCCATTGCAAAGGTTTCAAAGGCACCAGGGCTTTCACACACCAAAGCCTGCTTCTTATGTGTGCTTGAAAGCAAAATGGAGCAGCTTCATGAACAGGAAAGGAAATAATGAGCTTGATCTCTGCCGTGGCACTGGCTTCTCTCTCTTTGTAATGGGAAGGTAGTGTATAAGATCAAAGCACTTCTCAGCAGAAGTGTGCCGGATTGGGGCACTAGTTTCCACGCAACTGCAGGTGTCTTTGTAGAAGGTTACAAGGACGTCTTGTGCACATGAACATTTTCCACTCTCAATTCACACACCGTATCCAACTGCTGTGCTGTCTAAAGTAAGCCTCATTGAGCTTAATGGGATTTACTCCTGGGTAGAGATGCACTGTTACTGCTTATTGTATGGGTTTTTTTTAGTTCCAGCCTTTTTTTAAACATGTTTTCTTTAAAAGCCTAGATGAACACTTTGGTAAAATGAGAGAACGCTCAACTTTTAAACCTTGAAGAGATTAAGAGGCTGAGCATTCCCCCATTATGCCAAAGTATTCACCCAGCATTTTAATGAAAAATCTCAGTAAGGAACCTGCAGGATTGCCCACTTCTATAATGGTTTCCATGTTAAAATATAATTGTAAGCTTATTTAGCTCAGCAGGGGGGAACTTTTGGATTTCCAGATGTTTCTGGACTAAAATTCCCACCTGCCTCAGCTAGCACGGCTAATGATTGGGGGCAAATTGTAATCTAACAACATCTGGATGGCCACAGGTTCTCCACCACTGATCTTGTTCTTTGGAGGCCCTGAGCTCTGTTCTGTGATGGCATGCATTTCTAGCCTTATTTTTTAAAAGAGAGTTAGGGGAGCAAGTTACAGTTATCTCCTTGCTTCAGAGCTATCCCCTCCAGTCAAAATGTGCAGACTATACTTTGCTATTGTGTTGTGCCTCTGTTTTGGCACTTCAACTCCTAGGATGTGGAATGGATGAACTGCAACTTGGATAATATGTTGTCTGCATGATCCTTAAGAAATATGGGTACTGCAGGTGAGATTGGCGTATGAAATTAGACTAGTTCAGAGAAAGGAGAATGAGTCTGCCAGATTCTCTTCTGTGCTTGCTTGGTGTGTTTTTTAATGTATAAATATATTTATACATCATGTGAGCCCCCTGCACTGACACCCCGCTGCATTTTGATGTGAAACCACCACTTCAGTGTGCTTATAAATCCAATTTGTGTATGACTCACTTTATATAATTGCTTCATCTTAGGAGACATTTAATAGCTCAAGAAAAGGTGAAACAAATTTCTGATGTAAACAACTTCCAGTTATTAAATGTTCTTATATTCACAGAAGTTGGTCCAGTGAAACAGTCTGTCTACCTTCCTTGTTTGGTTATGTGCATTGGTGGAGCTAATAATTGATTGGACTACATCAGAGATTTAAATAACGCAGTTGTAAGGAACTTCTTCCTCCCTACACTTGTAGTATAATGCACCACATCCAATATTTTATTAGCATCAGTGAGTGGTACTGACTTCTGGATTTTTCTAGGAGGAATGGCTGCTGAACTTTAGTGTTCCAGTTTGCGCAGAACTTTCAAACCATTCTAAGAGAGAGAGAGAGAGAGAGAGAGAGAAGAGAGAGAGAGAAGAGAGAGAGAGAAGAGAGAGAGAGGTTTTACTCCAGCACTTCAAGATGCAGGAGCCAGTTGCTGCAGACCCCAATGCAGTCCCTCCCCCAAGCCGTACCAGAAACCCAGCAGCTAACCCTCGGCGAATGCGGCGGATTATAGCTGAGGATCCTGAGTGGAGTCTAGCTATAGTGCCACAGCTCACAGAGCTCTGCATACAGCACATAATCAACAACTTTGAAAGTAAGTAATTTCTCCTCCTCTGGTTTCTCTTGCTGAGAATGAACCTTTAGATCACAGGTTGCAATTATACATGCAGTTGAGGACTGAGTTTTAAAAAATGAAACTAAGTGGAATGGCTCTTTAAATGCAAGGGAATTATTCCATAGACCAAGGGTAGCTAATGTGGTGCCCTCCATCACAACTCCCTTTCTTCCTGGCCATGTAGTTGATGGGAACTGTAGTCCTAAACAACTTTTGGAGGGTACCACTTTGGCTGCTCTAGACCAAGTCATTCCTGCTGCTGATTCTTGATGACCAGTCAATACCTTTATTTTTGCCTTGTTTTGAAGCATTGTAGTCTACAGTATAACACAAAACTTTCATTTGTTCCTAGGGAATCCTGGAAACGATTGTTCTGGGAGTAGGGCTTGGTCTTCCTAATGGAATTCTTAGCATCCTCAGCAAATTACTCCTCTCAATATTATTTAGTGGAAGCACTGCTAAACTTGTACAAACTCAAATGTGTGTTGCTTTCAACATATGATGCTATGTCTGAATAATTGTTTAATCTGCTGGTGCTATTCTAATGCTAAAAGGTTATCTGCTTATTTTATTTACTGCTGTTATTTGAGTTTTTTAGTGTTGCTGTTTTTTCTTATTCTTTTGTAATAACTGAGATGCATATTCTGTTGTTTTATTGGTTACTGTAACTTGCTTTGGGGAGGATAATTTAAAAATCAAACAAACAGATAAATAATCTATCTATACCTAGCAAATAGATCTTCATGGTGGTATAAAAAGCAGCAAACAGACACCACATTCCGGAAGGCTCATTTCTCTTTTTTCCAACCAGGTAATCCTATTTTGAATAGCCTCCTTCCTGATCACCAAAGGAAGGTGCTGGACAAGGTCTCCACAAGTCTGCCCCTTACTGTGACTGCCAACCTGATTAGTGATGAAGGTTATTGGAAACGATGTTGCATTGCGAGGTGGGCAGTTTGTGACGTGTCCCGCTATGGAAACAGCTGGAAGCGGATGTTTTTTGAACGTCACTTGGAGAACATCTTGAAGTTCTACATTCCAGACACCACTAACCCCAACCAGGTCCTGGATGTCATCCCACTCTGCAAGGAATATGTGAAGAAGCTAGATATCGACCAGTTCCTTCCACCTGTGAAAATAGATCAGAAAAAGGAAGACGAAGAAGCCTCTGATGCAGAAAGTGATTCTGGAATGGATGAACCTTCCATGGACCATTTTGATATGAGTATGCTCACTCCAGCGCTCTGTCACCTAGAGGAGCTGCACTTATCTTATGGCGTTAAAGATTGTGGCATGAATTTTGAGTGGAATCTTTTTGAGTTCACCTACCGGGACTGCTGCTCCCTGGCCAATGCTGTCAAGAAGTGTCCAACTTTAAAAGTAACTTGCCATATACAGTTCTATACTTTTTAGAAACTCTGAACCTAGAATGATGGTTCCCAAGGGTCAGAGGACAATTTTAAACCTTTAGTGAATAATTTTGTCCAAATCATTACCTGACATCAGTACAGTAGGCCCACAACTTAGGTTACATTCCGGGGATCGTGCCTAAAGCCCAAATTGCATTTAGTCAAAGCACATTAGGTTCAATGGCGGGTGGGATTGCCAAAGTCTTTTTCCCCCCAGATGCCTGCCCCCTTTCCACTCATTTTTTAATTTTTTTAACCTTTTTTTTTGCTAAGCACGGAAAGCTGAATGCACACAAATGTACATAAGGTGCAGGCTTACTGTACTTCCAGGGCCACAGAGAGCCCCCTTTGCACCATACTTGTATACTAATCTCAAACACTTATATTAAAGTTAGATGCCATTACAGCTAAGTGATGGGAGCCACTCTTCCTTAGCTTCAGCTGGTGTAGATGGGGTCATCTACATGGATTCTTCCCACCTGGTCCCAGCTGTGCAAGGTTGATGTGCAAAGGACCTATGTGATTGACTCTGCTTACATGGCACACCTGTCAAGTGTCCTGGAAAAAATAGGACATCCCTTTTTTTGTATGAGATCACGGTGGCCATTTGGGGGGCAGCGCTCTTGCGCTGAAAAAAAGTGCTTTTAGGGGGTGGAATTGTAGTGTGGGTCATGCGACTTGCCCCGGAGTGTGGTCCGGAAGACGTGTGAACTGTTTTTTGAAATTAAAAAGTTGGACAGTATGACATGGTATTAGAGCTTTAAACATTAAAGCAGTGAGATGAAGCCTTGGTAAATAAGCTCTTAAATCTCAACTTCAAGTCCCATGGATTTAAATTGAACACCCCACCCCCCAAAAAAGGCCAAATAAGGCAAAGTTTGGGAGATCCACTATTTAATCTCTTGGCATTTCCATTTTACTTAAAAGCAGCCACAGAGCCTCCAGACTGGAGCTACAGTGCCAGGAGAGGGGGCATTTAACCACATATTTCAGCATCTTTCTCTGATCAAAATCCCTCCCTCAAGTGGCAGTCTAGATCAGGAAAATTACTTGGGGGAAAGAGTTAGGTCTTCCTCCTCCTGCAGTACAGGCCTAATCCAACATGGGTGGCCCTCTTCAGCAACTCTTTAAGAGGAAAAAAAAAAACAAATAAAGAGAGATTGAATCGTGGGTCTCCCACATCTTGTTGAGTTTGGTCCTAATGTGGCTTGCATTAAAACAACAGCCTTAAGGTTCCTTTTTAAATTGCTCCTCCCCAATATATTTATAATGTAGATATCTGCATAAGAGGGTTAAATGAGGAAGCAAGGTAAGCAATAGCCTCTACTGGTTGCTAGAGACCTACAGTTCCTCTAAAAAAATAAGAGGATGGGTGGAATGACCTTTCAACTCTGCACCCTCAAACCACCCTCAGTAGTGTACAAAAGCTATCCGTTGGCTTATAGCACTTGAAAGACTTGTGTTGTATCTCACTCTTGATGACTGAACCACCCCTCTACCTGCCAGTTTAGATCACATAAAGGCTTGAACCTGCTTAGGGGCAATGGAGAAATCTTTGATTCTAAATTCTAATATTTCTGAGAAAATTAGGCAAAATTAACCACAGACTTACTGTCTGAACTACGGAGCCTTTCAGACAACTCCTTGTGGTTCCAGATTGTTAGAGCAGTTTAAAAGCCTTTTACCAGAAATACAGGTTACGCTTATTGCTTCTGATATGTGAACTTTTTCAAAAAACAGCTAAGGCAATGAGCTGTCCAAATCCCTTGCCTTTCAGTGAAAACTGTGTGGTTCGAGGCACAAATAAAATAAAAATTGTCTGAAATATTTTTCTTTATCAAAACGTGTAACCTTATTCTTCTTCTGCAGGTCTTCAAACTGTCCCGAAGCAAAGTGGATGACGAAAAATCTCGTGTGCTGATCCATGAACTATTAGACCACCCCTCGCTAACAGAACTAAACTTATCTCACAATCTGATAGCAGACCGGGGAGCACGAGCTGTTGGCAAACTGATCAACCGCAGCAAGATAGTAACCCTTAACCTTTGTGATAACAGGATCCGTGCTCAAGGAGCCCAGGCGATTGCTCACGCCTTGTCCAAGAATTCCATTCTGACGTCCCTCAATCTGCGTCTCAACTGCATTGAGGATGAGGGAGGCCAAGCCATTTGCCACGCCCTCTTGGCTAACGACACTCTGACAAATCTTCACTTGGGTGGCAATGAGTTGTCGGAGCCAACGGCCACCCTTTTCTCTCAGGTCCTTGCTCAGAACACGGCTCTGACTCACATCAACCTCTCCTGTAACCACATTGGGCTAGTACGCAATCTCTTTTCCTACATGGGGGATGGGCACATTGCTCTTGTATAGAATGTTCAAAGCACTTTACATGCATTATCTTAAGTAATCCTTACAACCTTGTAAAGTAGGTCAGATGATGTTTCTTTTGAAGCTGGGAGATAGTGGCTTGTCATCTCACAGTGAATTTTTGGCTGGGATAGACTTGGACTGGCCTACATGTGTAGGAGAATGAGGTGGGGGGTGGAAATACTAAACTCCCTGCTAGCAGAAGAGGGTCACATCACAGGGAGCTTCTAGCTTAATCCATTCCTCCTTGTGCTAGTTTTTAATTTGCAGAATTTTGTTTTGTGTTTAACTCAAAACCGAAGTAGCACAGTCCATGTGATTTTGTACTATAGCAAATAGTGTTTGTACTATAGCAATAGTGTGTGTGTGTGTGTGTGTGTGTGTGTGTGTGTGTGTGTGTAGGAACATTTGTAGTATAAAAAAATTATGGGATTTTAGCAGGAAAGCTATAGGATTCACACTGACTGCAGCCAAAGCAGTATAACTGCCCTTAAACTTTTGCAGGTGCAAATGGTATTGAAAGTGTGATTGCATATATAACCACCCTGATAGTATGATGAGCACAAATCGTGATGAATGTACAATAATGTCTTGTGGGGCCCCTAAAATACTTTTTGTGGTTTGCTAGCAATAAACCCAGAATATATATATGGCTTACAATGAAGGATGAATGTTCTTATTTCTCTGCTTAGCAGCAGAGGAAGCTGCTGCACAATGGGCTGTTTCAAATTGTGTTCAAATTGGAACTCTACATTGCAGCATTATGTGTGACTACATTTTACACATCTTTTCTTAATTTGATAATGTGGCAACAGGTGATTGATGCAACCTGTTAGGAATGTATTTCTGTTCATTTCTATATAATGTTGCCGCAAAAAATAGCATACCAGCTGCTTTGCCATCTTTTCCTAGTTTGTGCTTGCAACAAAGGAAGAGAGTGGGTGACGTGCCCCAGGACTGTCTGAAATCCTGTATTTTATCAAAGGGCAGAGGTTTGAATCCTACCCTCAGTGGCTGTCTTTTGAGAAGTTGGCAACTCTCTGCGTGGTAGAGCTACATATATTAGTCTTTGTTGCTTGTTTATGTTTATCCAAGCACGCTTTAGATTTTCTTGTCCCATCTTTCACGAAGCAAAATATTCTACTGGATCAGTTCATGTGGATAAAAGTGTGCAAACTCTTAATATTCAGAGTTGTGATCCAATGGAAGCAAAAGCTCTGAAAACTCCAGCAGCTTTTGCATGTTTATTGGCAGATTTTGCTTGGTTTGCTGTATCTTTTCCAATCTTCTGCAGTAACATGGCCACCAGATTCCAGGTAGCTAATGGGCTTAAACGAAATGGGAATATTCCAATTTCTGAAGATGGTATGATTGATTTCCCCAGAAATTATTCTAAATTCTGGGTGTCTGCAAGTGTAGGGTCCTTCATCTAATTGTGTGATGACTTTTTCTTAAAATCCAGACTGGGGCGGGGCAGGGCAGAAGGGGCAAGAAGATACAGAACAGAACGCCACTCCAGAGACATGTCAGCCCATGACACAGCTCAGAAATCTCTACTTTTCATCACATGCTTTTAAGATCTGTCTGGTGCATGTATCACGATGCTATCACCTGCTTTTAGTTCCTGCCATGCCAGTACTGTTCCCTCTGGATCTGTTACATGCTTTTTTAGATGCCTCAGAGGTTGAGGGAGTTAATGACTTCTTGTCTCTTTCCCCCAGGATGCCAAAATCTTACCGAATTGCCTAAGCAAACACTTTATCATCTCTTGACATGGTAATGAGGAGGTAGGAAGATGTCACTGTCATAATGACACTTTCATAACGGGGAGCGTGACACACCATCCATTCTGTGAGCATTTGGCAATAAGCAGCAGTAGCTTGATGAATAGGTGACAGGAGAGGTTGACAAATCTGCTTGCTTTGGTGAGCATCCCTCTCTACTCCAAGAGGCACAGTTTCGGGCTAAAGGGACAAGTGCCTGGAACTGGGAAGGAGGGTGCAACGCATTCTAAGCACCTCGGAATCTCAGCACAGCAGGGTTTCAGAGGCAACCTCCACACAAGGAACTCATCCCTGTCCTCATGCTTGGACTCTTCTAACACACACACACTGTGATCTGTTCCCATGCATAAGCTCCTGCTATCCCCAGGTCATTGTCCCTGTTTGTCCTCCTGCCAGCCATCCCTTTCTCCTCCCTATGCATGATGAATTCAGATTGGTAGTTATTGAAGAAGCATGTTGGATCACCAATCTCTCTCTCTCTCTCTCTCTCTCTCTCTCTGTGTGTGTGTGTGTGTCAGTCAAACAGTAATTTCTAGCTTAACTGCACAAGCACTCTCTATCTTCAGAAGTGTGCATGCACACGAAAGCTCATACCAAGAACAAACTTAGTTGGTCTCTAAGGTGCTACTGGACAATTTTTTTATTTTTTAAAATATATTTCCACAAGCACTCTCTATTTTAGAGTAGGGGCTGCTCCAGTTACTCAGTGCTCAAAAGGTGGACTCTTTCCCACCCCCCTCCATGGAAATTTTATTAAAATTTTAAACAATAAAACAACAACCCCAAGGAAGCAATTCCATCAAAAACAAGAACTCTGGTATGAACATTTACACCCAGTTTATAGGTCATACAGCTTATAGGTCACAATAGTTATCAAGGTACCTATCATCTCCATGGGCATTCTTGAGAGGGGGAAGAAAAATATTTCCCCTGCTTATTAACATAAGCAAAAAAGGGAAGTCATATGTCACCAAAATCGGTTGTCCCTTTCACAGGTCTACATCTTGTGAGATCTGAGTTAACTTCCCACACATTATTAATCCAGTTATAGAATGGAATTGCAAGCTTTGTTTTCCAGTGTTGTGCTATTATGAGTCTTGCAGTGGTTAATAAAAGGCTGGCCAAGTCTCTGTGCTGGAGAGAGCGTTAGAGGACTGTTGATATGTGCACAGCATATGAAATGTTTTCACACTGGCAGAGGCAGTTTTGTTGCTCTAAATCTTTGGATTTAGATATTATTATTTTGAAATTTCTTCAGTTTTATAGAACCTCCTAGTGGCATGCTGTTTATTGAGCGTTCTTCACGATTTGTACTTATGATGTTATGGGAGCAGTTAGACCTGATCACACTTTCAATGCCACTTGTACTTGCAAAGGTTTTGGGCTGGTCATACTTATTCATTTGCAAAATAATAATAATAATACCTTTATTGTCACAGGACAACCTGTGTACAATGAAATTAAACGAGCCTCCCTCCCCCCCAAAAAACCTCAATCTTATCGAACAACACACCACCTTGCAAGTCAATTTCGCTATGTTATTTTCCGTTCAACAGCCTAACAGCCCACGTCCCATAGCTTCCTGCTAAAATCTGATAACTTTTCATACCACAAATGTTCTGGTGGGTTTTTTGCCGCTCTAGATGGTGATAATATTGGGGAAGCATTGCAGAAGAACTACTGAAGTTGAATGATGTGTGGATGCCCAGTGTTAATCCACCACTACTGCATTATAATCACAGTAGTGACACGCTCTGAATATACCTTTATATACCTGCCAACTAAGAGTTCACTTAACACGTTTGATGAAGTAGGCTTCAGCCCATGAAAACTTATGCTATAATAACTTTGTCTAAGGGTTCCATGAGATTTCATTGTCTTTTCTTTTTGTAAATAAAAAATAGCATGTAAGGAAGCATGTTTGCCCCTTCCTCGAGGCATTTTTAGGTCTTGGTTGCAAACCAGCCAAGGTGCTTTGGGGCAATGTGGTTTAAACCCGAGGGTTGCTTGTGTGCATGTGTGTTTTTGACCTTCAGCCTAGTCTTTTTATTGATTCCAGGATGGAGGGAAGCAGCTGCTGGAAGGCATGACTGATAACAAGACAGTGGTAGAATTTGACCTGAGGCTGGCAGAGGTGGGCCAAGAGAGTGAATACCTCATTAACCAGGCCATAAAGACCAACCAGGAACTAGCCCGATTCAAAAGCCTGCAGCACCCACCCTCTGCACCTGTCCCACATACGGTTGAAGAAAAACACCCCGAACAAGGCTAACATTTCCTGTGTTTTTGTCTTCACCACGTTAGATTAAATGCCTATTTTATTTCTGCTAAGCATTGTGCTCAGAAGTTCCTTCTTAGCTGTGTTTGATCTTGGCTGGCTATAGCTTCCATTCCTCCTGCCTTTCTCTTCACCTTCCCATGAAGCCTGTGGCACAAGTCCCTTGGTCCCATGTCATATTGCACCTGAGCCTGGGCCTAACCCTAGCAGGGGCGACGGAAAGCATGTGGCTTCCCTGTTTACCCCTTCTTCCCCTTGCTCTCTTGTTCCTCTTTGTCAGATTTTAGATCGGAAGCTGCTAAAGGCAGGGACTTCTACTCTGTAAAGTACACCCTGATGGAGCTAGATTATGGTGATTATTAATCATTGATTAAATCTTTTTAAATCATTTTTGACAGGCCATTCTGGGAACTGAACATGACAATACTGTAAAAGCAGGTTAAGCAAGGCAGAGTATGTTGAAAGTGAGCTAGATCTAACAAAATCCATCAGGTACAAGATTCTTGTTTAATAATTCACTGATTTTTTTGTAAATCTTTGAATGAAACTTTTCCTCTCTCTTTGCCACCCCATCAACCCTCTTTCCCCCTTCTGATCCCAAAGCAAAAGTCTTCTCAATAGCAGAAACAGCAAGCAGACCAAAAATGACTAAGGTTCAGTCTTCTGCTGCCATCACGGACTAGTGGTGCTCTCAGCCTGGCCAAGCTGTGGTATTAACATGGGAAAGCAGGGAGCTGTCCATTTGACCCTGCAACTGATGGTGCTGAAACCTGACAGAAGCCCCAAAACTTATTGCAGGATCACATCCTGCAAACCTCTGGTTTATACCCCAGGGCACACACCAGCCTACATTATCAGTGTCCCCCTCCCCCTTTGGTCAAGGAGTATATTAGGAACGCAAACCTATTAATTGTACTTCTAAACTTCAAAAGGGTGTGTGCGCATTGTGGATATATCACAAAACAGCCGTGCTCAAGGTGTACTGGTAATTGTTCCTCTGGAATTTTGTTCCAGTTTAGATGCTGGGGAGGGGCAGTGTATTTTTTCCATCTGTTCAATTACGTAAATATTTGTGACTTGTTAACACATCATCCCAAGCCAATGGGCAACTCATCTAAATCTTGTGACTGTAAATCTGCCTTACTGTTGCTAGCTGTTGCTAAAGTGTGGGTTGATGTGAGGCCAGTGACAGAATCTCCTGTGACTTAAATGGCTTCCTGGGTGCAATTTGCTTTTGGATTTAGCCATCCAAACTTTCTAAGACCCAGTTATGTCTCTTGCAGTTGTTATCTTATTTTCCTTCTCCTGAGGAGATTCTCAGTAATAGGGTCAAGTGATGATTGCTAGGGGGAGGGCAGGCAACACCCTTCAAAGTCACAGTCATGTGCAATGGGAAGACTCTCATTTTTAGCATCAAAGGGTACATCCCTGATCTGACCTCCAAAGTCTCCTGCTTTTTCAAGCTTCTCTCTGAAGACAGGATCAGAAAGGCTTTCTCTAGCTATTGCCCCAGGTTAGCACACAGCAGTGAAGTCACTTAAAATTCCACTAGGTGCTTTATTGCTTATATAATCTGAGGTTCTTGCTATGTCTCAGTATTTCCCTAGTAACAAGTAACAATTGGCATCAGAATGGTTTTCCTTGCTACACATCTTGTCTTTCCTCACTTCTTTAGGGTTGCTTTACATAACACAGTTGCTGTTCATAAACTCAGAAATGCTGTTTGGATAGCTAAAACGTTCAAGACGTTAGGCACAATCCTGTGTATGTTCCATTGGCCTGTGTGACTTTCTAAACACACTTCCTAGGTAATGCTAAGCTTGCAAAAGTTGCCTTTGAAATCTCCTTGCCCTGTTAACTAACCCAGAAGCCCAGTCATAATGACAATGGTGTCACATTTTTAATTATTCTATATATGAAGAACTGAACTATCACTTATTCACATGCAACACTAATCCAAAACATGGCTTAACATGAAGAAGTTTTAAAATCATTATTTACATATAAAACCCTAAACTCTGGGCCAGGTTACCTGAAAGACCAACTTCCCCACCATTGCTGGTGAGCACATTAAGATCAACCAACAAATGCAGCCTAATTAATCTTGTCATGACCTAATTATTAATGGGTTTTTGCTGGCACATAGGTGGGCCTTTTCACTGATGTCACTGGAATGTGCTCGATGCCTTCTTTTTCTAAAATTCTCCCATGTATTCAATCTTGCCTTGTTTAAAAAAACTGCTTACATTTAAAATTAAACTATTCTGGGGAGGGAGAGGGTGGGTGTGATGTCACCAGTATTAGCTAATCCATGCTGCGCAATGCAGTCCACAATCAACTCCCCCAAGATCAACCTCTGGAATGTGGTCTCTATGAAGAAAGTCAGCCAGGCACACATCAGACATCGTGAATCATCTGGAACTTTTATTACACCGATTTGGTTTACAATCTTTGTACTTTTGATATTTCCAACAAAAAGGCAACATTGTGATATACCGTTTTACATAGAGAGAGACAAACAGAACTAGATAGTACGGACATATTGAAAAGTAAAAACTGTTCTCAGTGCTCACAGAAAAGTTTTGTCAGAACTGGATTTATCTCCGCTGTTGCTCATTGTGGGCAATGGATACAAACGTCCACCATCCATGGCTCTGCTGCCTGCAGTGCCCCTCGGCCAAAGGGGCTTTAGCTGCTTGATGTTTTGGCCGTAATAGATCAGAAAGGATACTTGTGTGAGGTTATCTTGGGTGGCAGCAGCAGCAGCTGTCTTAGAGGTGTCAACAACAACACCCCATAGTCTTTACACGCTTGTGTTTCCCCCCTCCCTAATCCATGAGTGGATTGCTCCAGTGGTTTAAACCACAGGGAGTTGCAGCAGCATGAGAAATATGCCCATGGCAGCAACTATAAAATATCCCCCTGAGACATACCTAGAACATCAGATATTCGCCACTGACCACCTAGTTCTTGACCTGAGGCAGGCTGGCTTGTTGAAGTTACAAAATAATGTATTACTTAAATTGCACACTTGAATTAAGAGATCTTTTTAGTCACTCAGGAAAAGGCCCAAGATCCCAAATCAGTCAATCATGGTAAGCACAGCTTCTTGCAATCTATTGGAGATCAGTTTCTTTGGGGTTGTTTTTAATCTGAGAATGAATGTGTATGATGTCTGCAAAGCAGCCTGCCTCCACAGAGTGCAGAGAAGATAAAGTAAAATTGACTCTTAATTGTGACTCTAAAACAGGCACCCCCAAACTCGGACCTCCAGATGTTTTGGGACTACAACTCCCATCATCCCTAGCTAACGACCAGTGGTCAGGGATGATGGGAATTGTAGTCCCAAAACATCTGGAGGACCGAGTTTGGGGATGCCTGCTCTAAAACATGCAACAAATGTCAAATAAAAGCAGTGCTTGTTGAAGTGTCCTGGTGATGATCTGCGCTAGATAAGGTCACATGGCTGAATGGGTTAGTGCTCCATATGGGTGCTTAAACATAACTAACCAAAAGAATTCCCTAAATTCCCTCCAACAAACTTGCCCTGTGACTGGAGGGTGGTCTTGAGACTTCTCATGCTATTCAGCTACACAGTCATTAGCAGACATAAATGAAATAATTATCTGCCTGAGCTTCTCTATCTGAAAAATGGGAATAATAAAAAACTACTTTACAGTGCTGCTGTGAATACTTTAGATTTATAGCCTTGAAGGCTTAGGTTGACTACCAATTTAAAAGCATACAGAATTTTAAAAGAGAATTTTAAAAACCCACAATATAATTCAATATGACATTCAGTAAATACTGCTAAAGGCTCTCATCTTTGTGCTAACTCCTGAGAGCCAACTGAAACAGATAAAGCTTAAAACACCTCCAAAACATTCTTAAGCTTTATGCTGTTGAATCTCTAGCTCAACACTGATGGGGTGTCACAGGCCAGTATTGTAACATCTGGAAGCTGCTGCCCTATGAGTTGTTCCCAGCTTATTGAGCATGATCTATAAATGGCTGCTCTATAAAAAACAAGGAAAAACAAAATGGCTGACACATGCATATCCCCCCCCCAAAGGCTTGGGGAAGCTTTTCTGATCCCAAGAGATGTTGTGAGTCTCAAGAAATGCTGAAAACATAGGCCAACTAGCCAGGTGATCGTTACAAATCAGGGTTAATTGTCAGCTGCTAACTAGAATGGGTATTCTTCCTTTTCTTCCCAATACTTAGCTTTTCTCTGTGTATGGTTCATGGCAGACTTTGCCAACCAGGTGCTGTCCTGATGTTTTGGACTACAACTCCCACTAGTCACAGCTAGCACGCAATGCTGGCTGGAGTTGGTGGGAGTTGTAGTTCAAAACATCTGGAGGGCACCAGTTGGCCAAGACCGATTTTATGGTGTACAACAGGGATGGGTCATCTTCTTGGAGACAGCATCTCCTTGGAGGTAATCTGTTGGAGTCACATGCTAGTACTGGGGGAACCAGAGACAAAAGAGTTCTGGATAAACCAATCCAGAATACTGACTCTTCTGCTTCAATTTTCATCACAGCTACATCAGACTAAATTCCCTGTGTTCCTTTGGGGCTGACGGGGTTATTCTCAAATAAGTATGTGGAGGATTTATATTTTTTTAACCCAGAACACCCAACAGCTACTGTTCTGGAGGACAAGAGTATTTCCTTTCTGATTTTAGTGTACTGCACATGGCAGAAATCGATTTCTCAGGCAGCCAGGGTAGATTCTTTTCCTCAAGCCATACAACCATGAAAAAGTGAAACAAAAACTGCCCAACTTCAATTTTTATCAGATAGGACTCCTTCCAATTGTTCTGCAACTACACAAAAAGAGGGAGAAAGATGCTCCAAATCAGAATAGGGCAGCTTCAAGAAGTACTGGAAGCAACAGAAAGTAAGGTTTAGGGGCTTCAGGCGATTGCCCACCTGTGCTGTATAGCAAAGCAACAAAGGTAGGGTGAGCTATCAACCTGCCAGCCTTCCTCCCCGAGGTGTAGCTTAACAAAGTTGTTTGTTAGCCTTTTCAGACTTTTGAACTCTGAAGATAGGGCAGAAAATGCAAGTCTTCAACTCGGGTTGTCAGACATGTACGTAGTTTCCATATAAAATTGCAAACTCGGCTTCTGCTTTTCTGAACTGAATGCATATGACAGAAGGGCCATTTCCCACGCAATGGCTCCATCTCTTAGCTTTTCCTCTAAGTGCAATGACATGGATTTGGGAGGTTACAAGTTAGTGATGCTAAATGGGTTTCTGGATGCATTACGTTTTTATGGCCATTTCCCAATTGTATACTAGTTGTATGTTAGGCTCATTTTCTTGTCCCCATATTATTTAACAGCTGGTATATTCCAAGTAACAACAGGTAGTTTAAGATACAGTGACCAAGGGATAAAATATTGTATGAGCACCAATCCAGGTGCATTAAGCTAGCTTTAATCCAACCCTACCTGTTAGTTCGCCTGAGAGGTTTCATTAAGAAGCTCTGCACATAATTATTATTCCTCTCAGCTGCTCTACCCTGTTTATTATAAAGGGAGGCCTCCAATTCTGTCCTGGTGCTTCTTGCAACCTCTCTCTCTCTCTGTGTGTGTGTGTGTGTGTGTGTGCTTGTGTGTGACACATTTTTGCTGCTGAAATATGTGTGCATTGACCCACCTTTCTGTACGCCTTGCCTGCTAGGGAGGGAGGTAACACGGGATAGCAGTCATAGGGAGGCGAGGAAGACAAGTGTCCTGTTATGTTTGTCTGTTCACCTACAGACAGCAAAGACCTGCCAGTCATTTCCATGGCAACAAGTTTAAGTGAGGAGAAGCTGCTTCGGCATTTAAATGAATTAGAAAATGAATGAAATGTTATTAAGGTGAAGTGGAAGAAAAGGAGTTATTTCTTTGAGAAAGATTTTTGCATTTGGCTGTGGGACAACAGGGTTGTTGTGAGGACAAAATTGGGTATGCTGATTTTTGCTACCTTGGGCTCTTTGAAGAAAGACCAGGATATAAATGTGTTACACACACACACACAATTAATGGAGATGTTAAACACGAAATCAATAGAGATGACAATTTAAATCAGAAAGAGTAGTTATGATCAGAACTGTGCGCAGCCTGCATCAAATCTACAAACAAACCCAAGTTCTGTTATCAGAACAAATAAACCAGATTAGCAGCTAGTTCTTTAGTTTGGACCTCTACTACCAGGTTGATGATTTGTGTTGCTGTTCTAGAATTATGACTCAGAAACTGAATTTCTATAAGTGAGCACGTTATTTTATCCGGCAAGGAAGCTTTGGTATTGGATTCTGGCGAAGGTTAAACAGTATTCTACCATTTTAGACTCCAGAGCATTACAGATCTCTAACGTATAAAACATATTTTATCTTCATGGTTATGGCGCTGTCCCAGTTTGTGGTGAATGTAAAACAGCAGAACGTCCTCTGTTTGTGCAAACCGTAATGATCTCACAGCACCTTTAGCAAAAACAACAGGCAGCATTTCCGTTCACAGGAACAAATAGATGCAGTAAAAGAAATAGGTGGCTCAGAACTCGCACCAAGGCAGAAGATGTTTTGTTTTGTTTTTTTAATCCAGTGTGTCTGAGGACATTTTATCCTCTGCAAATTCCTAAAATAAATGTCAGCCATGCATGTCTACTTTGCATTGCAACATCCATATGAAATGCCTCCAAGACAACAAATTTAAATTGCTATGCTTTGTTGACACCTTGCAAATTCAGTGGAGCTGGACAAAACATTCCAAATGCCGTTTCCCATTAAACTTAAAATATTTTATGAGGGTTTTGTTGCAGCTTTTTCAATCTGCCTAATTCTTTTGGTTGTGGAACCATGAAAGGCTGATGTGGAAAAGCTTTTATATAATTCACATGCACCTCATTGTGCATTTCCCCCCACAGCACCAGGGAAATATTGTTGCTTAGCAAGAGAGAAAAGCAAAACACTAAATCATCTCGTATTATTTTGAAAGGGGACAGAATGCACCTTTTATCACCTGGTCCTATGAATATGCTTCTCTTGCCTCCGGAGACTCATTTGTGCGTCTAGGCCAGCTTTTTAAAATAAATAAATAAGCATTTTTTACCTTGATTGATTAATGGGATGCCGTCCAACATCAGGCCTCATTAGCCATCAGCTGACAGTGCCGCTAGGGATTATTTGAATTGTGTAAGTGATATGGATACTAAATCATCTGGACACATTCTACCTATATTCTCCACCCCCCCTTAAGTGAGCAGCTATGACTGTGGTAGAAACATCTTGCACTGATGAAAAATGACTTTCCAAGTGTACGTGTGGGTTCCCTCCCCCTCCCCTTCATTTTACAAACCAGTATACAAAAATAAAATCACAGTGGGTGATCCACAAAATTACCAGAGTCCCAAGAATGTGTGATTTGATTCAGAAAGAGCATTTCTACTCGTATACTTAGGGTGGACATTAAAAAAACAAACTTTTTCAGGCAAAGCAAAAATGTGAAAGTTGTGCTTACAACAGAAATGTGCTTGATAAAAGTGGCACCCACCGGAAAGCAACATGGGATCACAGACCCTCAGCAGTTCCTGGAAGTGTTGTATAGGTGGCTAAATGTTATTTAGTCAGAAGAAACTGTTGCTGATTGCAGATTCCACCACCCCCTCCTGCGGGACTCCTTAATAATGCAACTCCACAGGCAATGTGAGCAGAGGAACAGAAGAGAAAGCTATGAGAAACAGTGACTTCTTTCAGATCTTGGATTGTGGCAAAGCCACATCTTGGCTAGGAAGACCTATCTTTCAGAGATGCCTCAAACCTTCAGAACTGTATTCTTTCTGATGGCACTGGGAAGATTAAATTCATGGGCACAGCACACCTTCTTTCTTCATATAGTGTGGTCACAGACTCCATTGTGGGAGAAGGAAAAACAGAACAGAAGGATGAATTAGATTATTGCATCTCCAACGTATATTATTGCTTTTTGCAACTATTCTTTTCTGTAAACCACTTGGGAAGTCCTCCCCCCTACAATCAAGCAGTATATAAATTTTATGAAATAAACAAATAAATAATGGTGCAACCCTAAATCCACTTACTTGTGAGTAGGCACCACTGAACACAGTGGTACTTACTTCTGAGTAAGCATACATAAGATCAGGCTACAGACCATCAGGAAACACATGGTAACCAATTAAAAGCTTGCTGCATGGCACTTCTAATTGCAAGGAGAGACTATTTTGCACTTTTTATACTATAGTATGAGCCTTTGTAATAAATTATTACAAAACTGGCCTGGTTTCACAGGGGTTCTTCTTTGTGTCACAAAACCATGCTAGCAGCACATTTCTTTCTTGCAATGAAAGATCACTTTCAACACATGTGAAAAATGAGCAAATATGCATTCTGCATCAGCATTTAGAACTAGGCATGGTAACATGAATTCAGGACAGTCTTGCAAGCTTTTCATAGATCTACAACATGAAGCAACGCAGTAGCAGGTGCTGCGAAGATATCAGGTGAAGAACACTGAAAAAGTTGCATCATTGTGAAAAAGCCACATTTTTGTGGTAATAGTGGAGGTTATTATCTCACAAGTTGTACAATTTCAATAGATAATTCAGTGCCCTGACATCAAATTATTCAAGGCAATCAGCACAGGAAAAACAAATAATTAAAAGAATATACCGGTACTTCTCTCTTACACGTGCATGAACACACACCTCTTTAAACAACAAAACTAAGACTACATTCAAACTTCTGAATGTCCATTTTTTCCCAGATTGGTGGGTGATGCTCATGACAACTACACTGAGGGGCAGTCAACAAAATGTCCACTAGATGTTGCTGGACTACAACTTCCATCATCCCTCACCGCTGGTCATGCGGAATTGGGCTGATGGGAGTTGTAGTCCAACCACATCTGGAAAGCACCACATCGGCTACCCGACAGTAAGGGAAGATCTGTATGACGAGTTCTCCCAGTACTTTGTTGTCTAGCACCATGGGTTACTTTGAGCCATGTTGCAACTGTATGCAAGAAAAGCCGCTCGCAGCAGATCATCCTGTGCTCCTGGTCTGGCATTGAAGTCCCAAATAAATAAATAAATAAATAACAGGAAGTAATGCCCGTATAATGTTAAGCAAGATCTTATGCATCCTTTCCTGGGGCAGATTACTTCAGGATTCCTCTGTATGGGCTATTAGGCGAACATAAGCTGGGTATGGGTACCATATGGCTTAACAAGCACTGAATCGGTGCACCAGAGTTCCAAAAAAAGAGACATCCCTCAGGCCAAGCCTCACACCTCTGAGCCTGTAACTCATGGGTAGGCAAACTAAGGCCCAGGGGCCGGATCCAACCCAACTGCCTTCTAAATCCAGCCTGCGGACGGTCCGCAAATCAGTCTGTTTTTACATGAGTAGAATGTGTCCTTTTATTTAAAATGCATCTCTGGGTTATTTGTGGGGCCTGCCTGGTGTTTTTACATGAGTAGAATGTGTGCTTTTATTTAAAATGCACTTCTGGGTTATTTGTGGGGCATAGAAATTCGTTCATTTCCCCCCCCAAAACATAGTCCGGCCCAGCAAAAGGTTTCCTGCTGAAAAAGTTTGCTGACCCCTAAATAGCTTCCCAATGCTGGTAACCCTCTAGCTCAGGATGGTCCAACACAGTATGGTGGGGGGGAAAGTCTAGAAAGACAAGGAAAAGTTGTGCACTGCCAGACCCAGAAACCGAACAGAGGAGCAGGGTCAATTGTGCTATTTGGTCAATGAATGAGAAATAATGAGATTAAGACGCAGCTGAGAGAACTCAGGTTACATATGAGGGAACAGGCTGTCACTATAAGAGCAGATCAGGCCATCAAACCTGTTGCCAAATAAATTGTCATCTCAGGCGTAAATAACCTGGAGATCAGACAATACTCTAAAGTGGAATGAATGCGAGGCCGGCAATTCCAGATGCTACACTCTTCAAAAATAATGTTTACGGTCACACAAGAGACATAACAACTGCTGCTTTATGCAAACAGTAGACTTCGATACAGGTTATCTTAATGCTCAGCCTCAAATACCACATTCATGTATTTTAGCATCCTGATCCTAAACGCCATCACAGTGTCAAGGACTGGCTGGACAATGAGGCGTGGTGGGAGGCACCCGCCAAGGAACCCCCAAGGGAAGTTCCAGAGGAGGATGGCTCAGAGCCTGGGGATTGGTGGTGGAGAGGTCAGAGGGAGACGATTGGAAGGAGGGGCTGGATGCCGAAGGGGCAACAGGGTTTAGTGAGCAGGAAGAGCCAGTGACAGAGCAGTTCAGATTCCAAGGCTGAAGCAGAGGAGAGGGAGCAAGAGGCTGCTGAAGAATCCCAGGAATCTCCCTCTCCTGCTGTGACAAGCTCCCCTCCCTGCTGGTCTCCAAGAACAGAGGCCAGAGGTAGGTAGGCAGGCACAGTTTGAGACTGCTTGGGAAACATATGGGAGAGAAGGAGTCTTAGAAAGGGTAGAATGCAGGGACCTTCAGTCCTGGCATCTGCTCTATGGGGGCAAGACCTACAGGGAAGTGTTGCTGAATTGTAGGCCATTTCCTTGAATAAAGAGTTAACTTCACTGACAACTGTCTCTGCTTCTTCATGTTGACCTGCATCTGACGCCAGCCTTGATTTCCCTGCAAGCAACTGTGTTCAAAACAGCCAGTTTTCTCTCACACTTCCCCTTTCCTATTTTACAGAATATCCAGCTCGAATAACAGTTCCGGAAAACTCAAGTTTTGTGCAAATTAATCCTATATTATAAGGGCACTACAGTCTCCGCTGCACCTCCTTGTCCAAAAGGAAACACAGACCCTGGTAAGTATATCTGGCACCCCTGGAATCTTGCACCGCTTGTGGAAATTGGGGTGACGTGTTTCAATATTATACCAAAATTACTCAAAAGTGCAGAGGCCTTATTTGCTAGATGAAGTAATGTAACACAAAATGCAAATAAGCCAGAATGTGAGCAAAATTCTATTTTTAAAAGCAAGTTCAGCATGATAGAATTCTGAGATCAGTGCCTATCTTTCTTATGCTAAATAATGTCAGAGTAGAAAATGAAAGGAACAGTTGTTCTCCTCCAGTGAAGAAGGAATTGATCTGCCTGCTAATGCCCTACTATAGACAGGACTTAATCTCACTGGAATGCAAAAGGATCCATTTGCATGTTTCTGTTCTTTGACTAACACTGCAATCCTGTATGTGTCTACCCAGAAGGAAGTCCCATTGAATGTAATGAGGCTTAGTCCCAGGTACTGTGCATAGGATTGTGTTGTTTGTATTGTCAAGGGTTTGGATGGTTCGAGGAACCTCAGAAAACTATTTAGTGGTTCCTTATACTGTCCATTAATTAGGGGGGTGGGACACTCAGTAATGAAAGTGTCTTCCCATTACAAAGGAGCTCAAAATGCCTTGGAGCCACCTGTCTTAAGGGATATGAATTATAACAAGTTACTTCTCTTGCTATTGCCTCATTCTTCCACCAGAAAGAAAGCAGGTTTCAGGAATCTCTCTCACTCTCACATATACACGCTTTCTCTAACACAATTTCTCTTTTATGCTCTGTATAACTGCCTCCTTTCACATTCCAGAGAACACCATCAATCAGACAAGCTTGACTTTAAGTAAAATTCAGCCTTGTACAAGCACACTACCCCTCAGCCTTGCACACCAACCTTTTCCTGTATGAATAGATAAACTGCAGCTGAACCTCTCAGAACCTCCCTTGATACCAGACTTCCTCCCTGCCTGCGTTCATTACAACACATTTTCATTCACTTCAGAGCTCCCAGCTTCCCAGTTCATCCTCACCTCCCCATGACATCTCTCCCAACACCAGCAGATGCCTAGCAAATTCAACTGCTTTCCTTTGTGTACTGGCCCTTCTTCTGGGTTCGGAAAGAAGACTGCACTCTATTAAAAGTGTGGGGTTTCCTTTGCAAATTCCCTGTTCGTTTCTGCTTTCTGCTACCACAATGAAGTAAGTACTTTGAATGCTTTGAGCTTTACCTATGGGATGCTGATTCTCAGACGTGAAACATCAAGGCTTTCCAAGGAGACATCCTAAGATCTCGCGTCCCCAGCAGCTGAGAACAGCGTAACAGTCGGAGCATGGTTTAGAAAAAGGAAGGCGGCCTGGCTTGTAGTTGCTTCTCAGTTATTTCTCAGCTCCTTTTGCCTGGGAAACCAGTGCAGTTAATTGCCTTGCTTCTGAAGGAAACATGCTACACTGCCATGAATTCAACTGCCAAAGTGTGTGACTCTACAAAGATTGGATGACGTCCCCTCCCCACAATAATAATCATAATTATGGGGCAGGGACTGCTCCTGCTAGACAGATATTGTCAAGGTGGCCTGGTTAGCTAGAGGCTAGGAAGAAAGACATACACACCCAATACTTGGGCTGTTACTGCCCTTCCCTTCAGATTTTTTTGTTTTTTGCATGTGGCTGTCAGTGTTTAGTTCTGTGCAGTAGTTTTGATGGTGGTGTTAGCTGCCCACCTCACATCAAAGCCATTACAGAGCCAGAACAGAGCTCAGGAGCTGTTGAGTCCTTTGTGGGATGATAAGAGGGAGCCATTCTCTCTGATTCACATGGGATGTGTTAGGACCTCTCTTTTTATCTGCTTGCCCCCCCCAAAAAAAAACACCTCCCCACATCTGGGCACATGGCACTTCTCCTGTAGGTACTTTTCCTGCCCTCACAGCGAGGTCTCCACGCAGGATCCATTCCGATGGAGATGGCGGTGGTCATGGTTGAGGCAGCCCTCGTTTCGGTGCACGATGAGGATGGGGAAGTAGAGGGCGTCCTGGTAAGGAGGAGGGTCTTCCTCCTCCACAGTGACTTGGCTGGACAGGCGGGTCTGTTCAGTTGGGCAGCTCTGCTCGTTCAGGCTCCCACTCCGGCTCTGCCAAAGGCAGCTGCGCCGTGAGCCATAGAGACGGCTCAGTGAGAAGCGGCTGCTGCTGAAGGGGATTCTGGGGCTGCCATTGCAGATGCTGAGAGCACTGCGGGAGAAGATGGAAGAACTGCTTATAGTCCTGTGGCACTGCTCACAGTTCTGTCTGTAGCTCCCATAGCGGCAGGAGGAGTAGGTAGTGCAGCTAGACAGTCCTACCAAGTCCATGAGGACAGCCTCAGAGTAGCTGGGCACCAGCTGCTGGTTGGACCGGATATGCCACTCCAGCTCAGTGCTGTCCACCGTGTTGACCCGGGGCATCCTCCGGCAGAAAGGGCGCTCTTCAGCCGGTGTTACTGCCACATAATCAAACCCAAAGAGTTTCTCTACATGGTAGTGGACGTAGGAAGTGCGGAACTCATTCAAGACCCGCAAGGGCCAAGACAAAGTCAAGAGAGCAGCAACCCAGAAGACATAGTGGGAGACGTACCAAGGTAGGTTGTCTGGGTCTGAGAAGGCCACCATGTACTCTTTGAAGTCCACATTCTTAAGATGCATGCCTTCCCTTGCCTCCATATAGTCATCCAGTCCCTCGTTCTCTGTGAAGAAGCGGGCCCTCTGGGTCAGATAGGAGTTCTCAGATTCCACGTTGGCAAAGCTGAAGCACTTGGTGAAGCGGAGCCGGGTGGCTGGGAAGTTCTCCAGATCAATCAGGTCCTTCGAGATGTCCTTCACCCCGCAATTGGAATAGTCAAACTCTGCTTCTGCCACGTGGGTGTTGACCCTTTCGTGGTACACTTGGGTGGTGGTATACGCGTCCCCGTTGCGGTAGCGGGTGACTTGGCGAGTCCTCCTGACGTAGTGGTAGCTGATGGCTTTCCACCAGATGCAGGGGGTGGCCTGCTGCATCCTCTGGACACGCTCGTGAACGCTCTCCACGTCCACCTTGTACTGGAGCTCATTGCGGGTGTAGCAGTGCCAGCATTCCACCAGGTAGACCACGTAGAGCATCACCAGGAAGGCCAAGGGGATGTAGACGTAGCCATTGGAGCAGGGGCTGTCATGGTACATCATGGACTTTCCCTTGTAGGCGCTGTCAAAGGTCAGCCGGGTCACCTTCGTCACATGGCACCAGGTCATGGCTCCCATGCAGCCGTACATGAGGAGGGAGAGCACCAGGCACTTCCAGTGTGACTCCCTACAGAGCGACTTGCTGAGCGACTGCTTCACAGGCCGTTGCTTCTCCAGGGCGGGGAAAAGAGAGAACAGAAAGAGAAATTACTATACAGTGAAGGGAAAGAAGAATTGCCACAGAGCTGCACCGGCGCCTTGATTAGCATTGGCAACTAACCAGCTAGAGAAGAAGTCACAGATGGGCATCCCCAGAGGCATGAAATCTCACTTAAAGGCTACTCAGGATAAACACCTCTCATTTGGCAGGCGAGAGAAGGAGGCCTGCCTCATGTGTCATCCTTTCCTAGGACCCATATAGTATGTCCTCCAGTTGTTGTAATAAGAAACCTGTACCCACTTCTTGCCATCCTTGGGCTGCCACTGCACATTCCCTCAAAAGTGCTCATGAAATGTGGCCTTGGGGCCTGTCAACCTGGTCTGGAAGCTATGATTCTCTTCGAATCTGAATGGAGCAGCTGGATGACTGTTCCATTATTTAACTCATACTACAACACAGGATGGGAAAGATTGCCCCATTATTCTCCCTCTCTCCCTTCAGACATTTTCCATCATTTGAAGTCTTTCTTAAAATATGGGAATGCTGCTTGCAATCCACTGCCACTCCTTGCTGCAAGTGCAGGCCAGCCAGCTACCTCCTTGTCCAGTGAAATCTACTCAAGAGTCAGTAACAAAAATTAATGGCGATGGGATCCATTATGTTCACCTGACGGACCTAGTTATGGCTCCTTGCCCTTCTATGAGAGGAAGGCAGTCAGGTGAGTATTAAGCACACATATTTCTGTATCACCTACAACAGAGGCAAAATCAACATAGCCAAGCTCTTTGGGCTCACACATACCTCCAGTCTAGGATTCATTTTGAAAGCATTTCTTTATGCATTCATCCATTTGATCATGCACACAATAAAGGGACTGGAATCTCACACTAAAGAGAAGATAATAGCTTGCAATGTTCCACCATTCTCCAGTGCCTGATGTTCCTGTACAGAGACAGGAAGGGAAGCTCCCCTTTGCCCTACTCAGGGTACTGGAACCCCTGCTAAGTATAGAGGGATGTTCTGTATGCACAAATGCAGGAGGTGCATGCCCTGTGCACTAGGAGATGAGAGACCTGTAATCAAATGCTTCAGGAACTCTGTTTACACTGTTGCTGGAAAGCGAAAGAAGGCTGAGAATGTTTATATCCATGGCCTTTTTTCTGCCCAGTACAACCCCATGTTATTTTCTAGTACTGGGGATATCTGAAGAGATGAACTGAAGACTCTCTCCAGAGACAGCTAATGCGTTACCCTCCAGAAAATTTGGACTATACTTCCCATGAGCCCCAGCCAGCATGGCCAATGGTCAGGGAAGATGGGAGTTGCAATCCAAAACATTTGGATTATATCTCCAGTGCTTTTTTTCGAAGAAAAATGAGATGCTGGTACTCCTATCTTGATAAAAGTGCTTTGGCAACAGCACAAAATGGCCACCATGGGCATCAAAAAGAGGTGATGGTACTTTATACTGGTGAGTACTGTCCCCTCAAAAGAGCTCCCAACCTTTGTACCTTAGATGGGCGCAAATCATGCCCTTTAAACTTTCAATGTTCCAGTGGTATAAATAATTCCTGATGCTACAGGTCAAATTCCTGCACTTGCATTTCTACCACATCTTCAATCCTGGATGGGTGAAACAGTAAAGATGTGGTTACAAATAAAATAAGACTGATTTGTTTTCAGCACCATCCATGCGCTGCTTATAGAATTGCAGGTGACTGAAATGGAAATGCATTTACAAACCGCAGTTTCTCTCCTGCTTCAAAGCTGCTTGTTCTATTTTTGTATATCTCACATTTTCTGAGAGTGACTCTAGACTAGCCAGCCCTGATGTATAAATCTTCCATGTTAACAGGATGCAAGAAGCAGCCTTCTCATTGGCATGGTTGTCATCTTCAGGGTTATTAGCCAGATTTCTCTAGAAGGAGCTGTTCGTATTTATATTAAAGGATGAAACATTCCAAAATACAAAATATAAATCTGCTTTCATACCCTTGATTTCCTGTGGGAGGGGAGAGACAGACATCAAAAAGCATGTCTCCATATATTTTTCACTGTAACCCCTGACTCTTACCACCCCTTTTTCTGTGGACGTCTGCATTCCTCTGGGGCTAATCTATGTGGGAGGGGCAGTAGGTAAGTGGCACAGAAGTGGCTGGGACCACCCTGTTTCTCTCATACACTTTCTCACAGGCCATCTCTTCCTTCCCACCTAGCTGGCTGCTGAGAGAGGGACAAATAGCTCTTCTCAGAGGTCTGGACGGCTTGCTTGTAAGGTGCTTTTGAAATTAGGTCCACACCATGGTATTTGACATTTTTGTTCATTTAAAGCCTTTTTAGACTGACCTTCATCAAATGGTCTCAGGGCAGAGTACGTCCCTAAAAGCATAATGTCATGAAAATACACAAACAATCCCAATAAAATAGTTAAGACACCAATTTCTACACCCACAGAACGAGGTTGGGAAATTCATGCACAGGGTTACCTAGAGTTACCTAAACAGAAACCAACAAAAGCCACAGCAAACAAATAAATGAGTTTTAAGCTGGCACTGAAAGAATGGAGTGTTGGCATCAACTGTACCTCTAAAGAGTGAAAGTCCAAGAGATGGGGCTTCACCACAGAGAAAAGTGTGGGAAGTCTGATAGGCGAGATTGAAGGATGGGGACACCTTATGAGAAACTACAGCTGCTGGACCTCCCTGAAGCACTATAAATCTGCCCAGAAGTAGAACAAAAACCCGAGAACATCACAAAACACAACATGATGGTACGTTTCATCTCTTGGACTCAGAAATGCCCAGCATTTTCTTTTAATTTTTCCATATGTACTGTGAATCCAAAAATGATTGTGAAACCAGAGGGCAGGGAGGTAGCTCTTTTACTGCAATGTATTTTGTACTTTGGTTTATATATATTATTTTAAGCAAGAAGGGCCTCTGTAAGGTGGCTGGAGGAATGTGATCAATGCTGAGAACATCTGTTCTACTGTTGTTGTAAGGCTGGGGGCTAGACCTGAGAGGGTTAGTGGGGCAAGATTTGGGTGTAAATGTTTCATATTAGTTCCTTTTATTAGGCAGTTTGCTCTTGACAGCTGGACTTTCTTTAAGTCTTTTTGAATGGAGCAAAAGCAGGTCTTCTTCCCCAGTACCTTAGAGTGATGTAATCTAGATAACAATGGAAGGACACATAACAGCTTTCAAGTGAGACACAGAGAAATGAGTTTCCATGCTCTGCAAGTTCAAGGAAAGAGCCTCTCTCTGGAGTTCTGATGTTTGGCTATCTGTTGGGAATATTATTTTACGTGATGCTTCTATCCAACAGAAAGATAGTAGAAATAATAATAATAATAATAATAATAATAATAATAATATAAACACTGTTTCCCTGGGTCTCCAAATTTCTAGTTTTGTTCAGTTGTGTTTTTTATTTTTTGTTTGTTAAGAATGGAAAGTATCTAGGGCTTCTTAGCAAGCCGGATTGCCAGGTGTTGAGACCATCATTAACCCTCCATATCAACACAAAATAAGATCGGCCTCTTGGGTTGAGTTAATTATGTCTCCAGGCAACATCCTGCTCCCAGAAAGCAAGTGGATGGCTCTGTGTCAGATGGGGACTTTCTTCACACCAGAAAGAGCACCGAGAGAACGAAGCAGATGGAAAAGGCGAAAGAGCACTTCGTTCGAGTGGCTGAGCAGATCTGTGCTGAGCATTCCTGGCTGGCTCAGTCCACCTACAGTACCAAATCTAGCCGACCGATTTAGAACAGTAAACACAGCTAGGTTTGGCTACTCCTCTCAATCACAACTGGATGCCAAGCAAAACTGCTACTGTCTTCCTTGGGCTTTCCTGATTCTACTGCTCTGCTCCTGTGTTTCTGAGGGCAGCGACCGGTCCCCAGTTTGGGGTTTCCCATCTGTATTCCAAGAGAAGCACAACTGGGAGAGTACAGATGCTGGTACATTCTCACTGGAAGATTCACATTTTTTCAGACCCTTGTTGCAAGTTGTTGTTGCAAGAGTCAGTGTGGCGTAGTGGTTAGAATGTTGGACTAGAACCTGAGAGAGAGAGAGCAGGGTTTGAATCCCCACTTAGCCACTGGGTGACCTTGGGCCAGTCACCATCTCTTAGCTAAACCTGCCTCACAGGGTTGTTGTAACGATAAACTGGGAAGGAGAACCATGTACCCCCCACCTTGAGATCCTTGGAAGATAAAGGTGGTATATAAATAAATGTAATAAATAAGTAATAATAATAACAAAAAGAATGGTCTGATCCACAATAAAAATTCCCTGATACCCTTGTCTGCCTGGCTCAGAATTGCACCCGATTTCTTAGCACAGAAACAGATCAATGCACCAACCTACCCCTGACATAATAAGCACAGGCTTGGTAAAGCTAAAACCTCCAGCAGAGAGGTTAACAAACCATGAAGTAGGTAAGTAGGAGGGACCATAGCTCAGTGGTACAGCATATATCTGCATGCAGAAGACCCCAGTTTCAATCCCTAGTATCGCTAGGCAGGGCTGGGAAAGACTCTTAAACACTGGAGAGCTGTGGGTAGTTAGTATAGTATTGCTACACGCCACCTCAATCTGCATGAGCAGTGCAAGATTCCTGGGGTATCAGGAGTGCTTAGCAGGGTCTGTGTTCGCTTTTGAGGTACATCAGTGACTATGATGTCTTTATAATATATGCCTTAAAAAGGTAAAGATAAAGGGACCCCTGACCATTAGGTCCAGTCGTGGCCGACTCTGGGGTTGCGGTGCTCATCTCGCTTTATTGGCCGAGGGAGCCGGCGTACAGCTTCTGGGTCATGTGGCCAGCATGACTAAGCCGCTTCTGGCAAACCAGAGCAGTGCACAGAAACGCCGTTTACCTTCATGCCGGAGCGGTACCTATTTATCTACTTCCACTTTGACGTGCTTTCGAACTGCTAGGTTGGCAGGAGCAGGGACCGAGCAACGGGAGCTCACCCCGTCATGGGGATTCGAACCGCCAACCTTCT